TTAGAAGGAAGTCGTAATGGTTCTCATTTTCATGGGTTGAATCTCGGAAGAATGTCAGTGTAGTCCATGTGATTTTTTCCCCATTCTCTTGTCCCGCCCACTTCCTACCCTTCACCAAAAGTGAAGGCTACTTCATAGGTGTCCGTTTTATTGTCTTCAAACCCCTTTCAGCTGGTTCCTCAAGGGTGTCCTTTGTCGAGAATCAAAAAACACCACTCTTGGAGTAGAGTGGTATATGAACGAGAGTTGCGCTCGTTCCGACACCTCAAGGAGGGCTACCGAAAAAAAAGGAGTGAAAGTAAAGTGTGATTGAGCAATACGATAGTTTCATTGATTCTGTATTGTCATAAGGGAAGTGGCTCTTACAATCACACGCATGGTGCGGGGATTGAGTTCCGGATCGATACCCGTCTATGTATAGATCCGGGACTCGGCGGTCCTCGCCCTGGCCAACCTAGCTGTAAGAAAAAATCATCAACGATGGTATATAAAACAATTAGAAGAAAGGAGAAGGAGAATAAGTTTCGAATAGTGAGAAAGAAAAACATTCCCTTCAGCACTGGCCTTAAATTTGCTATATAAGCTAGAATCGTAGCTAGATAACAATAAAGGTGATCATGATACTAATTATTTTGAAAAGTTTTGTGTGCTCTACGAACGATCTGAAATCTTGCTCACCATGAAAGTGAAGATCACCTGCATCATGACTGAGTACATCCATTTGAGAACGTGAACCATAAATTCCTTGTGACGTTTCATATGAGCACATATACATTCCTGAAGGTCTGCAAGTAATAATTCTTCACTTGTGACTACTGTAGTCGACTTAATTTTTAGGAATTCCTTTGCATGTAGATGCATAGAGTCCTGAAAAATTGTCATCTGATATGGTTTTTTAAGAAATCTCATTCCACCGAGTCCAAATAATTCCCCCACACAAAGTTGGCGTTCTCAAGATATCATACAGAATAAATGGGCCAGTAAATGCTTAATACACTCTGAATGGGGGCCAAATGCATTCCTCACACTATGGGAATTGAATCAGTGCCCGATACGGTTTCAAAGGCTTTCGTTTCTACCACTTCGACGCTTTGCTGAGGTATTTTTAGGCCTAAAGAAATAGTAATATTACTTGAGGCTCAATTTTACTCTACGAATCATTAAATTTGATCTTGGTTATAGCCATTGCGTTGCTCTACGTTGAACCAAAAATAGAACCACATTATAACTTTTTTTAAAATGCCATTTCAGTATCATTACTCTTTAGCGATGATAAATGACATTCACTGACTCATCCAAACTCCCTCACTCACTGTTACTACCAGAGGGAGAAGGAGTTTGGATGTTCCGCCCCTCTCCGCCTTCCTTTGGCCAAATACCCGTACAACTTTGAAATTGCACTTGTATTAGGAGGTTTTTATTCTTTGGGCTTCCAGCGATTCTTTTAGAACTTTTCGTTCAAGGGAACCTTTCCCGATTTTCTCCCGGATTCGATGATCACTGAGGATGAGACGATGGTACGTTAAAATAACAATGTGAGGAAGTGAGTCGATAAAAGAGAACAGTCAGAACCTGCCCACATACCCATCTTTACTCTTGACCTTCTAATCACACATGTACCACCCCAGTGGTCTTTTGATGGGTATTGATAGATATGCCATACGGTTCCTGTTTCATTCGTCCTGCTGTCATTTTTAAAGCCTATTTGAACCAAACAGGCAATTTTAGCTAATTTTTAGAATCAATAATCGATATTGTAGTGACAGCTTGGATATTGAAAAGTACACGGCAACATGAACGAAAATGAAAATTACCTTGTTTGGCATGACATCCACAAGCCACTTTGTAACCATTGCTGTAATTCTCGGGCATATACAACCTGTAAATCAATTTTCAAAATTATTGGGCAAGTATTTCTTGATGAACATTGAATTCAGACAATTTTGAATCGCTGAGTATAAACACTAGTAAGAGACCGTACATACCTGCCAAGCCGGTGTTGCTAAAGCAATGAATATCGTAATTAATCCTAAAAGAGCAAATATGGCTGCTGGCAATTGTAGAAAGGCTTTCGCCGATTCCATTAACCTATAATTATTAGATAGCAGAAAATCGGTAAGGACAAAACACGGACGACATGGTAAAAACGCTGCATTTCTTTGCCAGAAAATGCCAGTAAAAAGAAATTTCTACTACTTTTGAGAAGGAAAGCACTGAACTTCTCATAAGCAGCACTTTAAGATAGAACTCTTGAAGGCTGGTGTACACGAATGGCTAACAGTGTAGGCTCACATCTGCACACTCGTGACAGCCGNGGAATGCAAAATACGCAGTAAATACGTAACGAAAAAGAGAATTTCCATTTACGGATAGGCCAAACTGTTACAAAAAAAACCAAAAAAATGAGCGTATGAACAGAATTTTTAAATCGTACTGATCAAAAAGATCAAGGGTTGCTACGAAGTAATGGAACTGGTATTGATCACCCGATTGCAAACAAAGTGTTAACAAGCGCTAAAAGTAAAAGGGGGGTAGCGCAACTTGCACAGGTGAATAACATGGTGCCGTTGGACGGATCGATCGTCCTTGACGCGGTCCTCACCCTTGGTGACACAATGAAGAGGTGGTTGCTACATACGACGAGGATCGGTCCGATTTGGGTTATCCAGTGGAGGGCAGCGCTAAGATCAATTAAGTTCCATTTCTTGAGAAGTTCAGGTTCAGATAAACTCTTTTCAAAAGGCTTAGCTGGGTTGTTAACAGTACGGTCTCACCGCTACCCAGGGGAACCCCGCGAGTTCGATCCCTGCCGAGGTAAAGCTGAGTGGTGGGATGAATGCAGAGAAGTTTCACAGCTTACCATTTGGTTACTAGTATAGAAATTGAGCCGCTGTTCTCGTGCTTAGGAAGAGATGGATACCCCCGGTGATCCAATCTCCCCGACATGTACCGCTCCTATAGGGTTCAGCAAGATTAGCATCTAAATTACCTGAACAGTCAAGTC